CTGGCCCTGGGCGCAGAACTCCATGATGATGCAGTAACAGGGGGCCTGGGTGCACACGCCCCTGCGGGCACAGCGCCGCCTCAGCGCCCGCGGGGCCGCCGGGGCCACCGGGGCCACCGGGTCACGGGGACACCCAGCACCGTGCCCCGGGCCGCGGTGGCCGTGACCTCTGTGGCCGTGCCCATGCTGGGCACCGTGTCCATGCTGGGCACCGTGTCCATGCCGTGCCCATTCCACGTGCATGCCGTGCCTGTGCCATGTGCATTCCATGTCCATGCCGTGTCCATTCCATGTCCATGCTGTGCCTGTCATGTCCATGCTGTGTCCATGCCATGTCCATGCCATGTCCATGCTGTGCCCATTCCATGTCCATGCAGTGCCCATGCTGTGCCCATTCCATTCCATGTCCATGCTGTGTCTGTCATGTCCATGCCGTGCCCATTCCACGTGCATGCCGTGCCTGTGCCATGTGCATTCCATGTCCATGCCGTGTCCATTCCATGTCCATGCTGTGCCTGTCATGTCCATGCTGTGTCCGTGCCATGTGCATTCCATGTCCATGCCGTGTCCATTCCATGCCCGTTCCATGTCCATGCCATGTCCATGCTGTGCCCATTCCATGTCCATGCTGTGCCCATGCTGTGCCCATTCCATGCCATGTCCATGCTGTGCCCATGCTGTGCCCATTCCATGCCATGTCCATGCTGTGCCCATTCCATGTCCATGCTGTGCCCATGCTGTGCCCATTCCATGCCATGTCCATGCTGTGCCCATGCCGTGCCCATGTTCTAGCGTGCTCCATGCCCCATGCCATGCCCATGTCCCATTCCTGCAGTGTCCCCCTGTCCATGCTGTCCCTTCCTGTGCTGTCCCCCTGCCCCTGCTGCCCGCTGCCCTGCTGCCCCCGTCCCCGTGCTGTGCCCGTGCCCCGGTGCCAGCAGCCCCTCTCACTTGAAGGTGATGATGTTGGGGTGCTTGAGCTTGCGCAGGTGTTTGATGTCGGTCTCCTTGAGGTCCCGCACCTTCTTCACGGCCACCTCCTCGCCGTGGAAGCGGCCCAGGAACACGGCGCCCTGCGCCCCGCTGCCCACCCACTGCAGGTCCAGGATCTCCTCGAACGGCACCTCCCAGGGGTCTGCGGGCACGGGGGGCAGGGAGCCACGGCTCAGCAGGACCCCCACCATGGCACCCACGGCTCAGCACATGGCACCCACAGCCATGGCACCCGTGGGTCAGCACATGGCACCCACACCATGGCACCCACACCATGGCACCCACAGCCCCCTGGGACCCCCACACATGGCACCCACGGCTCAGCACATGGCACCCACAGCCATGGCACCCACACCATGGCACCCACCGCCCCCTAGGACCCCCACCATGGCACCCACGGCTCAGCAGGACCCTCACACGTGGCACCCACAGCCCCCCGGTACCCCCAGCCCTGGCACCCCCACACCCACACCCCTGCTTTGCCCCCCTCTCCCCTGGTTTTGCCCTTCACCCCCTCTTTTCTCCTCATACCCTCCCTTTACCCCCCTGGGCCCTACTCTGGACCCTGCTTTGAAGCTCCTTTGCCCCCTCAGCCCTGTTTACCCCTTTCCCCCGTTCTTTGCCCCTTTCCCCCCACGCCCCCCCTGCCCCGGTGCCCCCCTGCCCCGGTGCCCCCCTGCCCCCCGGTGCCCCCCGGTGCCCCGGCGCTCACCCTCGGGCGGGTGCTTGTGCTCGGCCGCGTACGCTTTGCCGATCATGGTCCACACGGGCTTGAGGCACCCGAAGAGCCCCTCGAGGAAGCCGCCCCCGGCCTGGCAGCGCAGGTGGGCGGCGTCGGCCGCCAGCGGCCCCGCGGCCTCGGGGCCGAGCTCGGGGCCCCGGGCGCCGCCCCGGCGGGGCCAGGCCTCGGGGGGCGCGGGGGGCGCCGGCAGCACATCCCGCAGCACGCACTGCGTGGGGGTCAGCTCCTGCTCGGGGGTCCCGTCCGACGGCAGCGCCAGCGACGGCGACGGGGTGCGGGTCTCGTGCAGGCAGGCCATGGGGCTGGGGGCGAGGGGCAGCGGGGACGGGAGCTCAGCGGGGACGGAGACCCCCAAACTGGGGCGAGCGGTCAGCGGGGACGGGGCAGGCAGGCCATGGGGCTGGGGGCGAGGGGCAGCGGGGACGGGAGCTCAGCGGGGACGGAGACCCCCAAACCGGGGCGAGCGGTCAGCGGGGACGGGGCAGGCAGGCCATGGGGCTGGGGGCGAGGGGCAGCGGGGACGGGAGCTCAGCGGGGACGGAGACCCCCAAACTGGGGCGAGCGGTCAGCGGGGACGGGGCAGGCAGGCCATGGGGCTGGGGGCGAGGGGCAGCGGGGATGGAGACCCCCAAACCAGGGCGAGCGGTCAGCGGGGCAGCCCCAGAATTGGGGCGAGCGGTCAGCGGGGCCCGGGGCACCCCCGGAAATGGCGGTGACCCCACACGCGTGTGTGACCCCCCCCGTGCCCAGGGGACCCCCGAACACGCGTGTGACCCCTTTGCCCCCACCCCGCCCCCTCCCCGCCGGGTCAGCCCCGGGCACGCTCGGGGTAAACTGAGGCACGAGGGGTCCCCGGGGGGGGAGGGGGGCGACGGTCGCCATGGCAACAGCGCGGCCGGCGATGATGTCATCACTGGAATTGGGGGGTTGGGGCGGGGGAGGGGCCGAGCGTCACCCCGAGGGACCCGCGGGGGAGGGGGCGCCTCCCGCCCCTCCAGGTGTCGCGCGTGTCCCCCCGCGGTGACATCACGTCACACGGTGACGTCATCCCGGTAAGGGATGGGGCCTCCCCCCCTCCCCATCCCCAGGGAAACTGAGGCAGGAGCGGGGGGCGCGACCCGGGGGGGGGGCCGGGACAGAGCGGGGTGGGGGCGGCACTGGCGACGGGCGACAGCGCCGGGCCCGTGTCGCGACAGCGCAGCGCGGGAGGAGGGAGCGGGGGCGGAACAGCGCCCCCGCCGGCGCGTCATGTCGGGACATGGCGCCCTGTCGCGACACGGGGGGGGTGACAGGGGCAGGGGGGGCTGGGGGGGGCACGCGCGTGCACAGGGGGGTTGCGCGCTCCGGGGGAACCCGCGGGCACGCGCAGGGCCCGGCGGGCGCGCGCACACGCACCTGCCGCCGTTTGCACGCGCGCGTGCAAGGGGTGACGAGCGCGCGCACGGCCGGGGGGGGGGGGGGGATGGGAATGGGGGGGGGTCAGGCGCGTGCACGCGCGCGTGCAAGGGGGGGTCAGGCGCGTGCAAGAGGCCGCGCGCATCCCCTCCCCCCCCGGCCCCCCAGCCCCCCCGCGCCCAGGGGGGAGGGGAGGGCGCGGCCCCCCCCGGGCCTGGGGGGTCCCGGTGATTGATGGGGGGGGGCCGAGCCCCCCCGAGCCCCCCGGGCCCGCCGCCCCCTCCCCATCCCGCGCATCCCGGCCCTGCCCCCTCCCCATCCCGCGCATCCCCCGCGCGGTGCCGGTACCTGGGGGGGCTCCGGGCCCTGCCCGGGGGCGCCGCTGCTGCCGGGGGGTCCCGGGGGGTCCCGGCGCCGGGGGGGGCCCGGCGCTGCCGGTGCTGCGGGGCTGGGCCCGGCGGGCGGGGCCGGTACCGGGGCCGGGGCCGCGGTCGGGGCGAGCGGCGAGAACGGCCCCGCCTGACGGGAACGGCCCCGCCCCGGCCCCGCCCCGCGCACCGGAGAGACCGGCACGGGCACCGGGAGCCCCCCCGGCTGCGCCCCGGGACCGCGGTGCTGCACCGGGACCCGGCCGGGACCGCACCGGAACCCCGGGACCGCCCGGGAACCGCCGCAGCGGAGAGACCGGCACCGGACCCGGATACCGCACCGGGACACGGACACCGAACCGGGACCCGGATACCGCACCGGGACCCGGATACCGCACCGGGACCTAGATAGAGACCGGCACCGGGACCGGGATACCGCACCGGGACCTGGATACCGCACCGGGACCCCGATATCGAACCGGGACTTGGATAGTGCAGCGGGACCCGGATACCGAACTGGGCCGAGATACTGAGCGGGACCCGCGCTCTGACACCGGCACCGCTCCCGGGCCTGCACCGGCACCGGCACCGGCACCTCCCGGCGTCAGCACCCGGACTCCGGCCCCGGCCCGCCGGTGCCGCCGTGACCCCGCCGGTACCGACACCGGCGCCGGGCCCAGAGCACACGGGGCACCGCGGCCAGCCCAGTGCTCCCAGTACGGTGTCCCTCCATCGCCGGTGCTCCCGGTGTGATCTCAGCGCTCCCACTCTGACCAGTGCCACCTCTGCCCCGCTGTCCCCGCTGTCCCCATGTCCCAGCTGTCTCCCATGGTCCTCATTGTCCCCATTATCCCCCACTGCCTCCACTGTTCGCACTGTCCCCACTGTCCCCATTATCCCCCATTGTCCCCACAGTCCCCATTGTCCTCATTGCCCCCATTATCCCCACTGCCCCCACTGTCCCCATTATCCCCCACAGTCCCCACTGCCCCCACTGTCCCCATTACCCCCATTATCCCCCACTGTCCCTCACTGTCCCCATTACCCCCATTATCCCCCACTGTCCCTCACTGTCCCCATTATCCCCCACTGTCCCTCACTGTCCCCATTACCCCCATTATCCCCCACTGTCCCTCACTGTCCCCATTATCCCCCACTGTTCCTCACTGTCCCCATTACCCCCATTATCCCCCACTGTCCCTCACTGTCCCCATTATCCCCCACTGTCCCCACTGTCCCCATTGTCCTCTGACCCCTCTCGGGGGAAACTGAGGCACGGCCCCCTTCCCGCCCCTCCAGCACCACGTGACCCCGCTTCCCGCCTCCTCCGCGCTCCCGCCCTCCCCTTGGCGCGGGGGGTTATGGGAAGCGTAGTCCTCCGGCGGGCTGACGGGGGCTGCGTGCGCTGCGGGCGGACTACAGTTCCCATCGCCCCCCGCGCGGCGCGGCGCTCCCGTGATGCCGCGCGCCCCCTGGCGGCGCGGGCGGCTGCCGGAGCGGCGGGGATGAGCGAGGAGGGGGCGGGCGGGGCCCGGCGGAGCGGCGGCGCCTTCCCCAGGTACCGGGACCCCCGGGGCTGCCCGGGGCCCTGCGGCACCGCCCGGCACCGCCGGGGCCCTCCGGGGCTGCCCGGCACCGCCGGGGGCCCGCGCTGGCGGCGGCGGGCGGGGGGCGGCGGCGGCCTAGGCCGGGCTCGGGCGGGGAGGGTCGGGAGGGGGGTGGGAGAGGGGACAGGGCTGTTCCCGCGGTGTGGGACAGTGCCATCCCCTGCCCGTGTCCCCGCGGTGTGTGGCACTGCCATCCCTGCCCGTGTCCCCGCGGTGTGGGACAGGGCCATCCCCTGCCCGTGTCCCCGCGGTGTGTGGCACTGCCATCCCCTGCCCGTGTCCCCGCGGTGTGGGACAGTGCCATCCCTGCCCGTGTCCCCGCGGTGTGTGGCACTGCCATCCTCTGCCCGTGTCCCCGCGGTGTGGGACAGTGCCATCCCTGCCCGTGTCCCCGCGGTGTGTGGCACTGCCATCCCTGCCCGTGTCCTGGCCGTGCCACGCGTGTGTCCCAGCTGGCAGTGCCACATCCCCACGTTGTGCCGGGGTTCCATCCCCGTCCCTGCGTCGCCAGGCTGTGTGGCAGTGCCGCCGCTTCCCCTCACCCCGCTGGGGCTCCATCCCCGTCCCCGTGTCACCGCATCACGCACAAATGCCACCCCATGTGCCCCCGTGTCCTGCAATCTGTGGCAGTGCCACCCCTGTCCCCGTGCCCCTGTCCCCGTGCCCCTGTCCCTGCCATGCCCCTGTCCCCCATGCCCCTGTCCCCCTGTCCCCGCCGTTGCCCCATGCCCCGGTCCCTGTCCCCCTGTCCCCGTGCCCCTGTCCGTGTCCCCGCCGTGACGGTGCCGGTGTCCCGCGCAGCCTGGAGCAGATGGTGGCGGCCAGCCCCGGCAAGACGCCCATCAGCCTCCTGCAGGAGTATGGCACTCGCCTAGGCCGGACCCCGGGCTACGACCTGCTCAAGGCCGAGGGCCAGGCGCACCAGCCCAACTTCACCTTCCGCGTCACGCTCGGGGACATCAGCTGCACCGGTGGGACCCCTAGGGAGCCCCCGCAGCCACCCTGTCCCTGCTGTCCCCTCGGGGACATCGGCTGCACCGGTGGCACCCCCGGGACCCCTGGGGAATCCTCACAGCCTCCCTGGGCCACCCTGTCCCTGCTGTCCCCTCGGGGACATCACTGTGCCACTGACCCCAAACCTCCCAGGGCCCCTCAGTGTCCCTTGCTGTCCCTGAGGGTCCCCAGTGTCCCCTGATGTCCCTGATGTGCCCGTGTCCCCCAGGGCAGGGTCCCAGCAAGAAGGCGGCCAAGCACGAGGTGGCCCTGAGGGTCCCTGCGGTCCCTAAGGGGTGCCCCGTGTCCCCAGTGTCCCCGGTGTCCCTTGGTGTCCCCTGATGTGCCCGTGTCCCCCAGGGCAGGGTCCCAGCAAGAAGGCGGCCAAGCACAAGGCGGCCGAGGTGGCCCTGAGGCTGCTCAGAGGGGGGGGGGCCATGCTGGAGCCCCTGGAGCACAGGTGGGGCTGGGGGCGCTGGGGGGGCTGGGGGGCTCAGGGGGTACCCGGGTTTGGGGGGCTCTGGGGGAGGGGGCACCCAAAGGGGGCTGGGGGATCCTGCGGGATGTGAGGGCTCTGCTGAGCTCGGGGGGGCCTGGGGGGGTCTGGGGGCTCCCAGGGGAGTTTGGGGGTCCCTGGAGGGGTCTGGGCAGTCTGGCGGTGCCTGGCGATTCTGTGGGTTCTGGGGGAGTCTGGGGGGGTCCCCATAATGCCTGGGGGGTCTGGGGGTCCCAGGGCAGTCTGGGTGGGTCTGGGGGTCCCAGGGCAGTCTGGCGGGTCTGGGGGTCCCCGCCGTGCCTGTGGGGGTGTCTCTGACCCCTGCCCCCCCCAGCTCTGCGTTGCCCCCGGAGCCCCCCGCAGAGCCCGGCCCCGCCGCGCCCCCCCCGGCCCCCGCCGCGCCCCCGCCCTCGCCCAGGTAAGGGGGGCCGCGTGTGCCCACCCCCCAGTGCCCCCTGACCCCCCTGTGCCCCCCATGGGGCCGTGGGTGCCCCTGACCCCGCTGTGCCCCCCAACAGGGGCTGTGGGTGCCCCTGACCCCGCTGTGCCCCCCAATGGGGGCCGTGGGTGCCCCTGACCCCTCTGTGCCCCCCAATGGGGGCCGTGGGTGCCCCTGACCCCTCTGTGCCCCCCAATGGGGCCGTGGGTGCCCCTGACCCCGCTGTGCCCCCCAGGGGGCCATGGGTGCCCCTGACCCCTCTGTGCCCCCAATAGGGGCTGTGGGTGCCCCTGACCCCGCTGTGCCCCCCAATGGGGGCTGTGGGTGCCCCTGACCCCGCTGTGCCCCCCATGGGGCTGTGGGTGCCCCTGACCCCTCTGTGCCCCCAATAGGGGCTGTGGGTGCCCCTGACCCCGCTGTGCCCCCCAATGGGGGCTGTGGGTGCCCCTGACCCCGCTGTGCCCCCCATGGGGCTGTGGGTGCCCCTGACCCCTCTGTGCCCCCAATAGGGGCTGTGGGTGCCCCTGACCCCGCTGTGCCCCCCAATGGGGGCTGTGGGTGCCCCTGACCCCTCTGTGCCCCCCAATGGGGGCTGTGGGTGCCCCCTGACCCCCCTGTGCCCCCCAATGGGGGCCGTGGGTGCCCCCTGACCCCGCTGTGCCCCCCATGGGGCCATGGGTGCCCCTGACCCCGCTGTGCCCCCCATGGGGCTGTGGGTGCCCCTGACCCCTCTGTGCCCCCAATAGGGGCTGTGGGTGCCCCTGACCCCGCTGTGCCCCCCAATGGGGGCTGTGGGTGCCCCTGACCCCTCTGTGCCCCCCAATGGGGGCTGTGGGTGCCCCCTGACCCCCCTGTGCCCCCCAATGGGGGCCGTGGGTGCCCCTGACCCCGCTGTGCCCCCCATGGGGCTGTGGGTGCCCCCTGACCCCTCTGTGCCCCCCATGGGGCTGTGGGTGCCCCTGACCCCGTGTGCCCCACAGGGGCCCCCCCCTGGAGATGAAGACGCCGGTGTCCCCCCCCCAGGCCGAGTGCAACCCCGTGGGGGCTCTGCAGGTGGGTGCCACCCCCGGGAGGGGACACAGGGGACACCACAGGGGACACCAACCTGCCCTGGCGGGGGGGGGACACGGCCCTGGGGGGGGACCTCACCCATTGTGGGGTGGGGGGAACACGATGGGGTTTGGGGGCTCTTGGTCCTTTTTGGGACATTGTTCCTGTTGTGGGGACAGTCACCTCCTTCTGGGACAGTCACCTCCTTTTTGGGGCCAATTATCCGCTTTTAGGGACAGCCATTCCCCTTTTGGGGCTGCTCATCCCTGTTTAGGGACAGCCATTCCATTTTGGGGCTCATTATCCCCATTTAGGGACAGTTACCTCCATTTTGAGGCTGCTCATCCCCATTTATGGACGATTATTCCCTTTTTAGGGTTGCTCATCCCCATTTAGGGACAGTTATTCCTGCTTTGGGTGGGTTATCCCTCTTTTGGGGACAGTTATGCCTGTTTTAGGGCCAATTATCCCCATTTTGAGGACAATTATCCCCTTTTGGGGCCATTATTCCCTTCTTGGTGCTGGTTATCCCCGTTTTGGGGCCGGTTATCCCCGTTTTGGGCCGGTTATCCCCATTTTGGGCCGGTGATCCCCGTTTTGGGCCGGTTATCCCCATTTTGGGGCCGGTTATCCCCGTTTTGGGGCCGGTTATCCCCGTTTTGGGCCGGTTATCCCCGTTTTGGGGCCGGTTATCCCCATTTTGGGGCCGGTGATCCCCGTTTTGGGCCGGTTATCCCCGTTTTGGGGCCGGTTATCCCCGTTTTGGGGCCGGTTATCCCCATTTTGGGGCCCGTTATCCCCGTTTTGGGGCCGGTTATCCCCGTTTTGGGCCGGTTATCCCCGTTTTGGGCCGGTTATCCCCGTTTTGGGGCCGGTGATCCCCGTTTTGGGCTGGTTATCCCCGTTTTGGGGCCGGTTATCCCCGTTTTGGGGCCGGTGATCCCCGTTTTGGGCCGGTGATCCCCGTTTTGGGGCCGGTGATCCCCGTTTTGGGGCCGGTTATCCCCGTTTTGGGCCGGTTATCCCCGTTTTGGGCCGGTTATCCCCGTTTTGGGGCCGGTTATCCCCGTTTTGGGCCGGTTATCCCCATTTTGGGGCCGGTTATCCCTATTTTGGGGCCGGTGATCCCCGTTTTGGGCCGGTGATCCCCGTTTTGGGCCGGTTATCCCCGTTTTGGGCCGGCTGTCTCCGTTTTGGAGCGCGTTACCCCGCCGATGGTGGCTCGGGGCTGTCCCCCCGTGGCGTGGCGGTGTCCCCAGGGCTGGCCCTGTCCCGGTGTCCCCCCAGGAGCTGGTGGTGCAGAAGGGCTGGCGCCTGCCCGAGTACACGGTGACGCAGGAGTCGGGGCCGGCGCACCGCAAGGAGTTCACCATGACGTGCCGGGTGGAGCGCTTCGTGGAGATCGGTGAGGGCAGGGCAGGGGGGCCCCGGGGGTCCCGGGCAGGGCAGGGGGGCCCCGGGGGTCCCGGGCAGGGCTCCGGGGGTCCCGGCTCACCCCAGCCCTCGCAGGCAGCGGCACCTCCAAGAAGCTGGCCAAGCGCAACGCGGCCGCCAAGATGCTGGTGAGGATCCACAACGTGCCCATGGAGCCGCGCGACGGCAGCGAGGCCGAGGGCGAGGAGGACCAGTTCAACATGGTACTGGGGGCACTGGGGGGCACACGGGCACCCAGAGTCACCCAGAGTCACCCAGAGTCACCCTGGGTCACCCAGAGACACCCAGAGTCACCCAGAGTCCCCCTGGGTCACCCAGAGACACCCAGAGTCACCCAGAGTCACCCTGGGTCACCCAGAGACACCCCAGGGTCACCCAGAGTCCCCCTGGGTCACCCTAGAACCATCCCAGAGCCCCCCAGAATCCCCTCTGCCCCCCTGCTCCGGGCCGTGGGGCGGGCACCCCCTGGCTTTGGGGTTGTGGGTGACCCCGGGGCTGCCCCGCCGTTCCCAGGGGGGCTCCCACGCCTCGGGGGGCTCGGGACAGAGCCCGGGGCTGGGCAGGTCCCCGAGCCCCCCGTGCCCTCCGCAGACGTGCCCGCGGCTGGAGGGGCTGCGGGGCCGCGCCCCCGGCTGCACGTGGGACTCGCTGCGCAACTCGGCGGGCGAGAAGCTGGGCCAGCTGCGGAGCCGGGGCGGCGGCGCCGCGCCGGGGGGCGCCTGCGCGCTGCTGCAGGAGCTCTCGGAGGAGCAGAGCTTCGCCATCAGCTACCTGGACATCGGTGAGCCCCGGGGCCCTGCAGCCCTGGCCCAGCCCTGCCCCGTGCCCCGCGGGTGCCCCGGGGGTGCCCGGGGGCCGTGGGTGACCCGCTGTGCCCCCAGACGCGCTGAGCCTCAGCGGGCTGCACCAGTGCCTGGTGGAGCTCTCCACGCAGCCCACCACGGTGTGCCACGGCTCAGCCCCGTCCCGCGACGGCGCCCGCGCCCAGGCGGCCCGGAACGCGCTGCAGTACCTGCGCATCATGGCCGGGGGCAAGTGAGCCCCGCCGGGGGCAGCGAGTGCTGCCCGGGGCAAGGGAGCCCTGCTTGGGGCAAGGGAGCCCTGCCCGGGGCAAGTGAGCCCTGCCCGGGGCAAGGGAGCCCTGCCCGGGGCAGTCGAGCCCCGCCGGGGGCAGTCTGTCCCCTCCCGGTGCAATCGAGCCCCGCCGGGCCCGGGCGCTGCCCCCGGAGCCGCCCCCGGGCAGCGCTCGGACCCCCGGACTCGGCCCCACCCGCGGCCACCGCCCCGACCCCGCTGCGGGTGCACGGACAGACAGACGGACAGACAGACGGACCTCAGGGCCCGGGGCCCCCCTCCGTCCTGGCCCCCCGTTCTGGAGGGTCCCGGGTGCCATCGGCCCCCCAGAATAAAGCTGGGGGCGTTTGTACGCCCCGTGTCGGTGTCTGCTTGGGGCCGGGGGACCGGGGAGGGGCAGAAACAGAGCGAGGGCTCGGGTGGGGGCACAAATCCTTTATTGGGGGGCGGATGGAGCCCCCGAGGGGCCGGGGGGGGCACAAATCCTTTATTGGGGGGCGGATGGAGCCCCCGAGGGGCCGGGGGGGGCACAAATCCTTTATTGGGGGGCGGATGGAGCCCCCGAGGGCCCGGGCCGGGGTCGGGCTCAGCGGCGGCGGCCGAAGCGCTGCGGGGTCGCCATGGTCCAGAACGGGGCCGCCGGGGGGTCCCAGCTGCGGGGGCTGAGCCGGGCCTGGGGACCCCCCTGCGGCCCCCAGCCCCACCTGCCGGGGGACACGGCACCGTTCATCCGCACCGGGGACGCGATGGGGACCGACAGAGGGACGGGGATGGACGGACGGATGGGAATGGGCTGAACACGGACACGAGGTGGGGACCCCATCCCCGCAGAACCGACCCTTCTGCGGCCCCCCACACCCCCCCGGTCCCTCCCCACCTCCCGCTGTCCCCCGACCCCGGCGCCCCCCGGACCCCCCGGCCGGGCCCCGTCCCCGCTCACCTTGGCCGGGGGGCCCCGGGGGCGCGGCCGGGGCGCCGCAGGGACCGGAGCAGCGCTCCCAGGGCGGCGGCGGCGGCGGCGGGGGGCGGCCCCGGGGCGGCGGCGGCGGCGGCGGCCTGAGGCGGGGGAGCAGCGGGGCTCACAGCGGCCCTGGAACCGCGCGGCGACCCCCGACCCAGCCCCGAGCACCCCCCACAAACCGGAGCCGGCGGCGCGGCCGGGCCGGGGCTCACCGGGGCCGGGCCGGGGGTCCCGGGACAGGCGCGGGCGGAGCGCGGGGTCCCCGCCAGCAGCAGCAGGAGCAACAGGAGCAGCACCGGGCGCCCCGCCATCGCCATCGCCATCGCCCCCGCCCCGCCGCCGCCGCCGCCTCTTATAGCCGGGCCGGGCCGGGCCGGGGGTCCCGGGGGAGCGGGGGCCGGCGGGAGCGGCCCCGGCCCCGCCGCCGTTAATGAAACCCATTTAGCAGCCGCGACAGCCGCCGCCGGGGACGGACGGACGGACGGGGGAGCCCCGCACCTCCCGCCCCGCCCGGGCCCCGCAACCGGCACCGCCGCGGCTGCGGAGCGAGACCCCCGGGACCCCCGACCTGCCAGGACCCCCTGAGACGGGGGCGCCTCCCCTGCTCCCCACCCAGCCCAGCCCATCGCTCCCAGACCGGGACCCCTCTCCGGTTCCCCATCGCCCCCAGACCGGGACCCCTCCCCGGTTCCCCATCACCCCCAGACCGGGACCCCTCTCCGGTTCCCCAATCACCCCCAGACCGGGAGCCCCTCCCCGGTTCCCCAATCACCCCCAGACCGGGACCCCTCCCCGGTTCCCCACCACCCCCCGACTCCCCCCGGTCCCCCCGCGCCCCCCACCCTCGGCTCGGTCTCGCTGCCGCCCCCCGGTGGCCGCTGCGCGCTCCTGCAGCCCCGACGGCGCGGCCGCGGCTCCGCCGACCCCAAACCAGCCGAAATCGCCCCAAAAACGCACCCGAGGGCGCCCCGGGACACTGCGGTGTCCCCGCAAGCAGCTCCCCCGCGGAACGGTGACAGTCCCACGCCGTCCCGGGTCCAGCCGGTGTCACCCTCGGTCCGGTGCCACCCACACCACGAACCCCGGGGACACCAGGGGTGTCCGTGGGACAGAGTGACCCCGGGGTGTCCGTGGGACAGAGTGACCCCGGGGTGTCTGAGGGACAGAGTGACCCCAGGGTGTCCGTGGGACAGAGTGACCCCGGGGTGTCCCTGGGACAGAGTGAGTGACCCCGGGGTGTCCGAGGGACAGAGTGACCCCAGGGTGTCCGAGGGACAGAGTGACCCCGGGGTGTCCGAGGGACAGAGTGACCCCGGGGGTGTCCGAGGGACAGAGTGACCCCGGGGTGTCCGAGGGACAGAGTGACCCCGGGGTGTCCCTGGGACAGAGTGACCCCGGGGTGTCTGAGGGACAGAGTGACCTCGGGGGTGTCCGAGGGACAGAGTGACCCCGGGGTGTCCGAGGGACAGAGTGAGTGACCCCAGGGTGTCCCAGGGACAGAGTGACCCCGGGGTGTCCGAGGGACAGAGTGAGTGACCCCGGGGTGTCCGAGGGACAGAGTGACCCCAGGGTGTCCCAGGGACAGAGTGACCCCGGGGTGTCCGAGGGACAGAGTGACTCCGGGGTGTCCCTGGGACAGAGTGAGTGACCCCGGGGTGTCCCTGGGACAGAGTGACCCCAGGGTGTCTGAGGGACAGAGTGACCCCAGGGTGTCTGAGGGACAGAGTGACCCCGGGGTGTCCCTGGGACAGAGTGACCCCGGGGTGTCCGAGGGACAGAGTGAGTGACCCCGGGGTGTCCGAGGGACAGAGTGACCCCGGGGTGTCCCTGGGACAGAGTGAGTGACCCCGGGGTGTCCGAGGGACAGAGTGACCCCGGGGTGTCCGAGGGACAGAGTGAGTGACCCCGGGGTGTCCGAGGGACAGAGTGACCCCGGGGTGTCCCTGGGACAGAGTGAGTGACCCCGGGGTGTCCGAGGGACAGAGTGAGTGACCCCAGGGTGTCCCAGGGACAGAGTGACCCCGGGGTGTCCGAGGGACAGAGTGACCCCGGGGTGTCCGAGGGACAGAGTGAGTGACCCCGGGGTGTCCGAGGGACAGAGTGACCCCGGGGTGTCCCTGGGACAGAGTGAGTGACCCCGGGGTGTCCCCAGCCCGCCCCCCACAAAGGGCAGCAGCCGGCGGCTCCTGGGTAATATTTAATGTTATATTTGCAGCATAAATAAAAGGCACGTTACATGTTTGGTATGACACGGCCGAGGGCGGGCAGCTGGGACGCGCCCCCGGTGCCCCCGGGCCCCGCGGGGCTGTGAGGACCCGCTCACAGGAGCCCGGGCGGGCCGGGGGTCCCTCGGGGGCGGCGGGGGCCGGGGCAGACCCGCGGCGGCCGCTCTGCGATACATGGGTGCGTATACGCGTCGATATGGACTGATAAGATACTACACGGGTACTCGGGGTCCTTTTTGGCTTCTTCCATTATTGATCGTCAAAGCTCGTGGCACAAAGCAGCTGGGGGGGTGGGGGGCGCGCCCAGGACCCTCCTGCCCTGTCCCTTCCGCACCTCCGGGCTCGTTCTGGGGCCAACAGAGCCGGAACGGGTCCAGGAGCCCCAAAACGTCACAATTCCCACCCGGGCCAAGAATCCCGGGCCAAACACCGGGGCGGGGGGGAAGCGGGACCAACTCTTCCCGATCCGCGGGGATTTGGAGGCTGAAGAGGGAGGAGGAGGAGGAGGGAGGGAGCAGCAGCTGCCCCGCCGTGGGGCTCCCCGGGGTCTGCAGCCCCGTTCCTGTTCCGTGACCCGGTAAAATCCACAAACCCCGAACCCCGCAGCCGATCCCGCCCCAGCCCGGAGCCCTTGGGAGCCCCCGGGCCGCGGGTCCGGCAGGGAGGGGACAGGAGAGGGGACAAGAAGGGACAGAAGGGGAGTCAGGACAGGGGACAAGAAGGGACAGGACTGAGGACAGGAGGAGGACACAGGAGGAAGGGGACAGGATTGAGGACAGGATTGAGGACAGGAGGAAGGGACGGAGGAAGGCTCGGCCCCCGGGATTCCGGGGCGGGCAGAGCCAAGTGCAGGCGCCCGGCGCTGCCGAGCGAGCGGGGCCGGGGCTGCCACCCCTCGGCTCGGAGCAGAATCGGGGGAGTTTGCCCCAAAACCGGTCACAAAGCGAGGAGGGGCTGCTGCTTTTGGGGTAAAACACGCGGGGAATGGGCACGGGAAGCTCCCACGCTGTGAGTGACCCAGGCACAGCTCGTTCCCGCCTGTCCCTGACCCCTTTGGCGCTTTCCTTTTCCGAGAATCGCAGAATTCTCAAGGCACTGGCGACGGGGATGTGGGGATGGGGGGCTCTGGGGAAGAGCAGCGAGGCAGAACAAGCCCGTCAGACCGAACCCAGCGCCCCCAGGGTGAAAGGAGGGGCTGGGGGAGCTGCTGCCCAAAATCCGCTCCCCAGAACGGCCCCGAGCCCTCCCCGGCCTCACCGGGGCCCTCCCCGGTCGGGACGGGCGGTGCTGGAGACACCCGGGAGCCCGGGCTGGGCTTTAGCAACAGCTTTAGGGGGGAAAAGGGTCTGGGGGACCCCAACAAGAGACCCCCGAGGCTGCAGCACGGAGAGGAGCTGGGATGAGCAAGAGGAAAAAGGGGAGAGCAGGAGCAGCAACACAAACCCAGCCTGACCCGGCCCCAGGAGAGGAAGAGCTGCTCAACGGGGAGGGAGGGAGGGAGGGGAGAAGCCGAATTCCACGGCTGGGAAAACCCCAAACCTCAGCACTTCCCATCAGTGCCGGGATCCCAGGCCCTGCTCAGCCTTGGCTTTGGGTTTCGCTGTCCCTGGGAACCTTCCAAGGGCGGAGGAACCGACCAAAATCACCTGGACCGACCAAAATCACCTGGACCGACCGACCAACCTGGCTCCAAAGTGGCGAGTGCGACCTGAGGGGGGCTCGGCTGAGGAGGGACTGAGGGGCAGCAATTCCAGGGGCTGGAGCAGGGCCATGGAGCGGGACAGGATTCCCTCCACATCCCAGAACCACGCGGCAGCCCTTCCCATCCCCATCCCCATCCCCATTCCTCATTATCTCTCATTCCCCATTCCCCATTTCCCATCCCCATTCCCCATGCCTCATTATTCCCCATTCCCCATTTCCCATCCCCATTATTTCCCATTCCCCAGTCCCCATTTCCCATTCATTCTCCATTATCTCCCATTCCCCATTATCTCCCATTCCCAGCTCCATCTGCAGCCCCTGCGGAAGCTCTGCAGCCCCCCAGGCACACAGGGGACAGAGCCCCGTGCCCACCCCGCAGCACAGGGACGCGACCCCGGCTCCTGCCCTGCCCAGGCTCGGGGCGGATCCTCGGTCTGCTCGGCCGGCAGGGACGGAGGCTCGGGCCCCAAACCCGGCCCCGCTCCCGCTCCCTCCCTCGGGACAATCCCATCATTTAAGGCCATTTCTGAGGGCACCGGGGTCCCGGAGGGGCAGCTGCTCCCGGGGCTGGGTTTGCCCAGGGCTGGGTTTGCCCAGGGAGGAGCCCTCGGTCCCAGAGCTCAGAGCTCGGGAGGCTCCTGGTGAAGGTGCGATGATCTGGGGAGTGGGGACAAGCCTGGGAGCAGCCCGGGGACGGCAGGGAGGGTCACAGCCCCCTGCAGCCCGGGGACAGCAGGGAGGGTCACCGGAGTGTCACAGCCCCCAGCCCGGGCACAGGGCCACCTCTGGGGCTCCCCAGATTTAGTGTTTGCCACAGGAGCCCTGAGCCCGCCCTCCCTGGGGGCTCCATCGAGGGGAAAGCGCCAGAGCCGCCCTTAAACCAAACCAGAACAAGAACGAAACCCCAGAAGGGACAGGGAAGGTCCCGCAGCCCCCAGAACAGACCCCAGACAGGACAGGGAAGGTCGTGTGCCCCAGAACCACAGGCAGGACAGGGAAGGTCCCGGTGCTGCTCAGAGCAGACCCCAGGCAGGAAAGGGAAGGTGCCAGGACCCTCAGAACACGCTCCAGAAGGGACAGGGAGGGTCCCAGTGCCCCCCAGAACAGACCCCAGACAGGACAGGGAGGGTCCCGTGCCCCTCATGACACAACCCCAGACAGGGGAAGGTCCCGGTGCCCCGTGAACAGACCCCAGGCAGGAGGGAAGGTCCGGCGGTGCTCAGAACACGCTCCAGAAGGGACAGGGACCCCGGCGCCCCGCGGCCGGGCGGGCTGTGCTCAGTCCGTGCAGGGCCCCCGGCCCGGGGCCATCATCTGCCCGCAGAGTGTCCCTGTGGGGCCATGATGACGGGCGAGGCCGCGGGCACGGCCAGCTCTGTCCTTTGCCCGGCCATGTGGGCCAGCACCGAGCTGGCCACGGCCTCGGCGGCCGAGCGGAGCCCGTTGGGCGCGGCCGAGGCCGAGCTGTGCTGGATGACGGGCGCGGGCGAGCCCGAGGGCTCCGAGCTCTCCTTGGGGCTCTCTGCGGGACAGGAGCGGGACAGCGGGGTCAGGGACGGGGGCAGCAACAGGGGGAATGGGGATGGGGGCAATGGGGCTGGTTTGGGTTTGGGAACGGGGCTGGTTTGGGAATGGGGCTGGTTTGGGGTTGGGGAATGGGGCTGGTTTGGGAACGGGGCTGGTTTGGGAACGGGGCTGGTTTGGGTTTGGGAACGGGGCTGGTTTGGGAACGGGGCTGGTTTGGGAACGGGGCTGGTTTGGGTTTGGGAACGGGGCTGGTTTGGGAACGGGGCTGGTTTGGGAACGGGGCTGGTTTGGGAACGGGGCTGGTTTGGGTTTGGGAACGGGGCTGGTTTGGGAACGGGGCTGGTTTGGGAACGGGGCTGGTTTGGGAACGGGGCTGGTTTGGGTTTGGGAACGGGGCTGGTTTGGGAACGGGGCTGGTTTGGGTTTGGGAACGGGGCTGGTTTGGGAACGGGGCTGGTTTGGGTTTGGGAACGGGGCTGGTTTGGGTTTGGGAACGGGGCTGGTTTGGGAACGGGGCTGGTTTGGGTTTGGGAACGGGGCTGGCCCAGAGGGGGATCAGGGAGCGGCAGGAACGGGCCGGGCACTCAGCCTGGAGCAGCGAGGAGCCAAGGCCGGGGAATGTGGAACCCCCTCCCCTTGGGCGGGACACGGGGACCCTCCCCAGCGCCCCCCAGAGCAGCAGACCCCGCTGATCCTCCCCGGCTCCAGCCCAGCTTCCCGAGGAGGGCAGCACCGGCGCAGCCTCCATCCCTCGCTCATCCCCAGCCCATCCACCCCTCGTTAACAGGAGTTAATGAATTTCCCCAGGTCCGAGGCTGAGCAGCCCCCTCCCCACGTGCCAGCGGGAGCAGATGCCCTGGAGCTGCGATTTGGGGGGGTTTTATCCCTAAATCACCTGCTCTGCTCTTTACTGCTCCCCCGCCATTGGAATCAATCAGAGCCCATCACGAGGCGCTGCCCGCTCGGGCTCTGGGGGATTTGCAGCCCCAGACAAAGGCAGAGCCTCCTTCCCTTTGTTCTTGGGGAATTTGGGGAATTTGGCAGAGCTCAGCGCTCCTGAGCCTGGCGATCACCCGGGAGCCCTCAGGTACCCCAGAGGTGCCGGCAGGAAAATCCATCGCCCTTTGCAGGGGCAAACAAGGGCAGAGCTGGGCACAGGAAACCCCAATCAAAACCCAGAGCCCGGCACCCAGGGCTCTGCACCCAGAGGTGCCGGCAGGAAAATCCATCGCCCTTTGCAGGGGCAAACAAGGGCAGAGCTGGGCACAGGAAACCCCAATCAAAACCCAGAGCCCGGCACCCAGGGCTCTGCACCCAGAGGTGCCGGCAGGAAAATCCATCGCCCTTTGCAGGGGCAAACAAGGGCAGAGCTGGGCACAGGAAACCCCAATCAAAACCCAGAACCCGAGTGCTCAGGGCTCTGCACCCAGAACCCGAGTGCTCAGGGCTCTGCACCCAGAGGTGCCGGCAGGAAATTCCATCTCCCTTTGCAGGAGCAAACAAGGGCAGAGCTGGGATGTTTCTGGCACAGGAAACCCCGATAAAGAGCAGAGCCATCCCCGCCCTGCACCCCGAGGCTGCAGACTCGCAGCAAAGCTCCCCACAAAGCCCGGAGCGGCTGCAATCCCCTCAGGGACCCGGGGCCCGGCCACAAATCCCGGCCTTTTATGGGGAGGGGGGAATCTCCTCTTCAGCCTGCAGATGTGCGATGAATTCCTGCTGCTGCCGAGGGGGACTGGGATGAGCAGGGACAAGCAGGGATTTGGGGATTTGGGGACACCTGAGGGGCTCGGAGCCACCCAGGGGTGACAGTGGCTGTGCCAGCACCCTCCAGCTCATCCCTGTGCCCCGCCAGGCAGGGCAGAGCCCAGACGGGGGGAAAGGCACAGCCCTCAACACTGAATTTTACATTTTTAGGTATTTTTCCAGGGCTGACAGTGGCTGTGCCAGCATCCTCCAGCTCATCCCTGTGCCCCGCCAGGGAGGGCAGAGCCCCACAGACCCTGACAAGGCACAAGGCACAGCCCTGAACACTGAATTTTCATTTTTTAGGTATTTTTTCCCAGGGGTGCCAGGATCCCTGTGCCCCACCAGGCAGGGCAGAACCCTGAACACTGAATTTTCATTTTTTAGGTATTTTTTTCCAGGGGTGCCAGGATCCCTGTGCCCCACCAGGCAGGGCAGAACCCTGAACACCGAATTTTCATTTTTTAGGTATTTTTCCCCCTTTTTCTGCCCGTGCTCCTGCTCTCTCAGCCCGTGCTCCCGTTTTTCCAAGGAACACTAGAGGACTCCAGCGTCCTCCCAAAGCCTCTCAGCAGCCTGGAATGGCTCTGCAGGCAGGGCACCAGGACCCAGATCCCGTCAGCTCCCGCTCGGTGGTAATGAAACAGCCAGCATTAAAAAAAGAAAATTATGGGAAGAAAAGGAGATAAAAACCAGCCTTTTCCTTTTTTTTTTTGGTTTAACTGCCAAGCCGAGGGAATGGCAGAGAATGAGCAATGGAGCTCCAGATGTCACGGGGGGAGTCTGGCCTTTGGTGTGGGGCAGCAAATTTGGGATTTCCAAGGGACATGGGGGGCACAGGGACATGGGGGGCACAGGGACACCCACGCTGCCCTGGCGCTGCCCTCGTGCCGGCAGGTGCCACCCCAAGGTCACAGGGACAGTCTGGGGGATCCCCCTCAGCAGTGGGATGGGCAGGAATGTCCTGGGGGGCTCCGAGGGGATTTTGGGGTGTCCTGGGCCCAGCCCGGGCGTTCTGCGCTCCCTGCTGGGCGCTGTGCTGCGCCAGCCCTGCCCTGCAGGGGCCCCGAGGGACAGGGGGTGGCAGGGGGCGGCAGGCACGGCCTGAGGGGACAGTCCTGTCCCTCCCTCCCAGCCCGGCCCAGGTGTGCCAGCACTCACCCAGGTAGCCCTGGCTCTTCTTCTGCAGGGCCGTGACGGGACAGTCCTTGTGGGCCAGCAGCAGCTGCTTCAGCTGCGCCACCTCGTTCCTGAGCAGCGTCACCTCGTTCTGAGGGGACACAGAGACCACCCGAGCCACTCCGCAGAGCGCCCCAAAACCCTCGGTGTCCCAAAAACTCCTCAGAGCTTCCTAAAAACCTTCAGAGCTTCCCCAAAACCATCAGTGTCCCAAAAACGCTTAGAACTTCCTAAAAACCCCTTGGAGCTTCCCAAAAACCCAGCCCCGTGCCAGGCCGTGCCCACCCTGTGCCCCACTCACGCTGAGCTGGATGTTCTGGCTGTGCCAGCCCCGTGCCAGCCCCGTGCCAGGCCGTGCCCCACTCACGCTGAGCTGGATGTTTTGGCCGTGCCCACCCTGTGCCCCACTCACGCTGAGCTGGATGTTCTGGCCGTGCCAGCCCCATGCCAGGCTGTGCCAGCCCCGTGCCCAGCCCGTGCCCCACTCACGCTGAGCTGGATGTTCTGGCCGTGCCAGCCCCATGCCAGCCCCGTGCCCCACTCACGCTGAGCTGGATGTTCTGGCTGGTGAGCTCCTCGGCTTTCTTCTCCAGCGAGGACACCCAGAGCTTGCGTTTCTGCCGGCAGCGCGAGGCGGCCGCACGGTTCCGCTCCAGGAAGCGCTGCCGGCGCTCGTCCGGGTCCTCGTCAGCCGCGCGCCGGCGCCGGCCCCCGGAGCCCGAGCTGGGCGTGGGCTGGGCCGGGGACACCTGCGGGGACAGGGAGAGATGGGCTGGGGACACCTGGGGACACCTGGGGACAGGGAGAGATGGGCTGGGGACACCTGGGGACACCTGGGGACAGGGAGAGATGGGCTGGGGACACCTGCGGGGACAGGGAGAGATGGGCTGGGGACACCTGGGGACAGGGAGAGATGGGCTGGGGATACCTGGGGACAGGGAGAGAGATGGGCTGGGGACACCTGGGGACACCTGGGGACAGGGAGAGAGATGGGCTGGGGACACCTGGGGACAGGGAGAGATGGGCTGGGGACACCTGGGGACACCTGGGGACACCTGGGGACAGGGAGAGATGGGCTGGGGACACCTGCGGGGACAGGGAGAGAGATGGGCTGGGGACACCTGCGGGGACAGGGAGAGAGATGGGCTGGGGACACCTGGGGACACCTGGGGACAGGGAGAGATGGGCTGGGGACACCTGGGGACAGGGAGAGAGATGGGCTGGGGACACCTGGGGACAGGGAGAGATGGGCTGGGGACACCTGGGGACACCTGGGGACACCTGGGGACAGGGAGAGATGGGCTGGGGACACCTGGGGACAGGGAGAGAGATGGGCTGGGGACACCTGGGGACACCTGGGGACAGGGAGAGATGGGCTGGGGACACCTGCGGGGACAGGGAGAGATGGGCTGGGGACACCTGGGGACAGGGAGAGATGGGCTGGGGACACCTGGGGACACCTGGGGACAGGGAGAGATGGGCTGGGGACACCTGCGGGGACAGGGAGAGATGGGCTGGGGACACCTGCGGGGACAGGGCCAGGAGACAGGGACAGGCTCAGCAGCGCTCTGGGACGGGCAGGACACGGCGCTGGCACCGCAGAGTGAGCGGAGCTCGGTCCCGCTGCCACTGCCAGGCACGGTCACTGCTCAGGGCAGCAGATAACCCCGGCTTCCAAGAATGCAATTTGCTTTAAAAATTAACTTTCCCCTCAAAACCTGCAGCCAGAAAAGCCCTGGGAGGCGATGGGGAACGGGACGGTTTGTGGGGCCTTGGTTTTATTGGGGAGAACAAAGGGAGAGCAGCCAGGGCTGGCACCGGAGCAGCTCCAGCCCCATGGAGAGAGGGGTCAGCCCAGCCCCATGGAGAGAGGGGCCGGCCCAGCCCCATGGAGAGAGGGGCCGGCCCAGCCCCATGGAGAGAGGGGTCAGCCCAGCCCCATGCAGAGAGGGGCCGGCCCAGCCCCACACAACGCGGGGCCAGCCCAGCCCCATGGAGAGAGGGGTCAGCCCAGCCCCACACAACGCGGGGCCGGCCCAGCCCCGGTGCAGCACATGGAGGCTGAACGCTGCACAGCCCAGCGGCGCAGGTGGCCGCGCTGATGGAGGCTGCTGGCGCTCGGCTGCTGCAGAGCCAGCCCGGCCCACGGCCGGAGCGGGGAGCGTTTAACCCGGATCGGGCAGGGGCAGGAGGGGAAAGCTCCTTCCCAACCAACCCCGGGGCTGCCAGGCGGGGGCAGCAGGGCTGGAGCCCCTGCCTGGTGGGCTGGGGGCGCCTCGGTGCTGAGCAGCCCCGGAATGGACGGCGTTTAACCCCTTCTGCGGTGTGGGGAGGGCGCGCGGAGGGTTTGTGCTCCTTGCCAAGCCCTGGGAGCCCCAGCAGCAGCTCCAGGGCAGCACTATCAGCACTATCAGCACTATCAGCACTATCAGCAGCCCCAGCACACACACACACGCACACACGCACACACGCACGCACGCACACACACCTGTGGCTGGGCCGGGGACGGCGTGTCGGGGTGCTGTCCCCCCTGGCTCTGCTCCGGCCGCGCGGTCACCAAGGTGCTGGCCGAGCCCACGGCCAGGCTGCTGCCGTTCAGCGAGGAGGAGGCTGCCAGGCTGGCCTTCAGCCTCTGCCAGGGACAAAGAGGGACATCAGAGGAGATGCCAGGGCCCCCGCAGCCCCTGCCACCCTGCAGCCACCCCGCTGGACACGGGCACCAGCTGTGACAAGTCCAGCCCCGTGTGCAGTGCCCAGCCCAGTGGGCAGTGCCCAGCCCAGTGGGCAGTGCCCAGCCCCGTGTGCAGTGCCCAGCCCAGTGTGCAGTGTCCAGCCCAGTGCCCAGTGTCCAGCCCAGGGTGCAGTGCCCAGCCCCGTGTGCAGTGCCCAGCCCAGTGCCCAGTGCCCAGCCCAGTGGGCAGTGCCCAGCCCCCTGGGCAGTGTCCAGCCCAGTGCCCAGTGCCCAGCCCAGTGTGAAGTGCCCAGCCCAGTGGGCAGTGCCCAGCCCCGTGTGCAGTGCCCAGCCCAGTGTGCAGTGTCCAGCCCAGTGCGCAGTGTCCAGCCCAGCGGGCAGTGTCCAGCCCAGTGTGCAGTGTCCAGCCCCGTGGGCAGTGCCCAGCCCAGTGGGCAGTGTCCAGCCCAGCGGGCAGTGCCCACCCCAGTGGGCAGTGTCCACCCCAGTGTGCAGTGCCCAGCCCAGTGTGCAGTGCCCAGCCCAGTGGGCAGTGTCCAGCCCAGCGGGCAGTGCCCACCCCAGTGGGCAGTGCCCAGCCCAGTGTGCAGTGCCCAGCCCAGTGAGCAGTGCCCAGCCCCCTGGGCAGTGCCCAGCCCAGTGCGCAGTGTCCAGCCCAGTGTGCAGTGTCCAGCCCAGTGTGCAGTGCCCAGCCCCGTGGGCAGTGTCCAGCCCAGTGGGCAGTGCCCAGCCCAGTGTGCAGTGCCCAGCCCCGTGCGCAGTGTCCAGCCCAGTGGGCAGTGCCCAGCCCAGCGTGCAGTGCCCAGCCCAGTGCCCAGTGCCCAGCCCAGTGCCCAGTGCCCAGCCCAGTGGGCAGTGCCCAGCCCCGTGTGCAGTGCCCAGCCCCGTGTGCAGTGCCCAGCCCAGTGGGCAGTGCCCAGCCCAGCCCTGCCCAGCCCCGTGCGCAGTGCCCAGCCCCGTGGGCAGTGTCCAGCCCAGTGTGCAGTGCCCAGCCCCGTGCGCAGTGCCCAGCCCCGTGTGCAGTGCCCAGCCCAGTGCCCAGTGCCCAGCCCAGCCCTGCCCAGCTGGCAGCCCCAGGGGCCGGGCAGGCTGCAGGGCCCAGGTGTCCCCGAGTGCCCACAGCGGGATCTGGGGGTGCAGAGGGACCCAGGGGTGCCAATGGTGCCAACGGTGCCCGCTCCCCTCCCTGGCTCCCTGGGCAGGGGAGCAGCCCCAGAGGGACCCAGGGGTGCCAATGGTGCCAACGGTGCCCGCTCCCCTCCCTGGCTCCCTGGGCAGCCCCAGCCAGGAGCTGCTGGAGCCTGGGGACCCCCTGACAGTGCCACCACTCACCAGTTTGGCTTCCGAGTGCACCGGGAGTGCTGAGGGCGACAGGGACCCGGTGCTGCTGCTGCTGCTGCTGCCGGGGGGCCCGGGGATGCCAGGGATGTTGGGCACCATGGCCACGGGCCGGGCCAGCTGCGGGCAGCGGGACAGAGGCGTTGGCACCGGAGCAGCTCCCGACAGGGCAGGGCTGCCAACCCTGACAAACGCTGAGCCCCTGCCACCCCTGGGTGCCACAGTCACCCAGCATGGAGCCCCTGCCACCCCTGGGTGCCACAGTCACCCAGCACGGAGCCCCTGCCACCCCTGGGTGCCACAGTCACCCAGCACGGAGCCCCTGCCACCCCTGGGTGCCACAGTCACCCAGCACAGGGCACAGGGTAGGGCTGCCACCCCTGGGTGCCACAGTCACCCAGCACGGAGCCCCTGCCACCCCTGGGTGCCACAGTCACCCAGCACGGAGCACAGGGCTGCTTCTGGAAGGTTCTCTCACCGAGATGACAGACGGCATCTGCACGGGGGGCCCGGGCAGCACGGGCACGGTCTGGCCGTTGGCGAGCTGCACGACGAGAGGGAGGGAGGAGCTGGGAGAGCTGAAAAACACAACGAGAGCAGCCCTGCAAAACTGCAAAACACAACAACAGCCCTGCAAAACTGCCCTGGGAGAGCTGCGAAATAACCCTGCACCACTGCACCACTGCCCTGGGAGAGCTGCGAAATAACCCTGCACCACTGCACCACTGCCCTGGGAGAGCTGCAAAATAACCCTGCACCACTGCACCACTGCCCTGGGAGAGCTGCGAAATAACCCTGCACCACTGCACCACTGCCCTGGGAGAGCTGCAAAACACAACAGCAGCAGCTCTGCACCGCTGCCCGGGCCATGGCAGCGCCAGCCGTGCCAGCCGTGCCAGCTGTGCCCGTCCAGCAGCCCCACTGTGGCAGCTCCCCCTGGCTCCCAGGGAATTCCCGGATGGAATTCCTGCCGCTGGAGCTCTCCCTGCCCCTGGATGCTCACCCCAGCTCTGCTGGAATCCCTGCCGTACTCACCCCAGCTGTGTGTCTGTCTGTGTGTCTGTCAGTCTGTCAGTCTGTGTGTCAGTCAGTCTGTCAGTCAGTCAGTCAGTCTGTCAGTCTGTCAGTCAGTCTGTCAGTCTGTCAGTCTGTGTGTCAGTCTGTCAGTCAGTCAGTCTGTCAGTCAGTCAGTCAGTCAGTCAGTCAGTCTGTCAGTCAGTCAGTCTGTCAGTCAGTCAGTCAGTCAGTCAGTCTGTCAGTCAGTCAGTCTGTCAGTCAGTCTGTCAGTCAGTCTGTCAGTCAGTCAGTCAGTCTGTCAGTCTGTCTGTCTGTCAGAATGCCCTGGACACTCACCCCAGGTGCCGGCTGGCGGGCGGTGCCTGCACTCACCCAGCTGTCAGTCTGTCAGTCAGTCTGTCAATCAGTCAGTCAGTCAGTCAGTCAGTCTGTCAGTCAGCCTGTCTGTCAGTCAGTCAGTCAGTCTGTCAGTCAGTCTGTCAGTCAGTCAGTCAGTCAGTCTGTCAGTCAGCCTGTCTGTCAGTCTGTCAGTCTGTCAGTCAGTCAGTCAGTCTGTCAGTCAGTCAGTCAGTCAGTCTGTCTGTCTGTCCGAATGCCCTGGACACTCACCCCAGGTGCCGGCTGGCGGGCGGTGCCTGCACTCACCCAGCTGTCAGTCTGTCAGTCTGTCAGTCAGTCAGTCAGTCAGTCAGTCTGTCTGTCTGTCAGTCAGTCAGTCAGTCTGTCTGTCAGTCAGTCAGTCAGTCAGTCTGTCAGTCAGTCTGTCAGAATGCCCTGGACACTCACCCCAGGTGCCGGCTGGCGGGCGGTGCCTGCACTCACCCAGCTGTCAGTCTGTCAGTCTGTCTGTCAGTCAGTCAGTCTGTCAGTCAGTCTGTCAGTCAGTCAGTCAGTCAGTCTGTCTGTCAGTCAGTCTGTCAGTCAGTCAGTCAGTCTGTCAGTCAGTCTGTCAGTCTGTCAATCAGTCAGTCAGTCAGTCAGTCAGTCTGTCAGTCTGTCCGAATGCCCTGGACACTCACCCCAGGTGCCGGCTGGCGGGCGGTGCCTGCACTCACCCAGCTGTCAGTCTGTCAGTCAGTCAGTCAGTCAGTCAGTCTGTCAGTCAGTCTGTCTGTCAGTCAGTCAGTCAGTCAGTCAGCCTGTCAGTCAGTCTGTCAGTCTGTCAGTCAGTCAGTCAGTCAGTCTGTCAGTCAGTCAGTCAGTCAGTCAGCCTGTCAGTCAGTCTGTCAGTCTGTCAGTCAGTCAGTCTGTCAGTCAGTCAGTCAGTCAGTCAGTCAGTCTGTCAGTCAGTCTGTCAGTCTGTCAGTCAGTCAGTCTGTCTGTCTGTCAGTCAGTCAGCCTGTCTGTCAGTCAGTCAGTCTGTCTGTCTGTCAGTCTGTCAGAATGCCCTGGACACTCACCCCAGGTGCCGGCTGGCGGGCGGTGCCTGCGTGATCACCGACGTTGGTGACGGCAGCGTGGCCGCGGCGTGCAGGCCGTCGTAGCCCAGGTGCAGCGGCAGCGAGCCCGGCCGCACGATGGTGGGCGTGGGGGTGGACAGGAGCGCGGCCTTGGGGGGGCCCTGCTGGGGGGCAGAGAGCACAGACAGGGGCTGCTCACTGCCAGATCCTCGAGCGCTGCAGCCTGCAGAAACCCCCATCGCAGAAACCCGGGGGAGCACATCGCCCACACGGCGAGGGGGGCAAAGCTCCAGCCTGTCAGCTCGGGGTGTCTGGGAGGGAGCTGAAGCTCCAGCCCCTCCATTTGGGGTGTTTGGGATGGAGCTGAAGCTCCAGCCCCTCCATTTGGGGTGTTTGGGATGGAGCTGAAGCTCCAGCCCCTCCATTTGGGGTGTTTGGGATGGAGGTGAAGCTCCAGCCCCTCCATTTGGGGTGTTTGGGATGGAGCTGAAGCTCCAGCCCCTCCATCTGGGGTGTTTTAGGAGCTCCAGCCCCTCCATTTGGGGTGTCTGGGATGGAGCTGAAGCTCCAGCCCCTCCATCTGGGGTGTTTTAGGAGCTCCAGCCCCTCCATTTGGGGTGTTTGGGATGGAGCTGAAGCTCCAGCCCCTCCATTTGGGGTGTTTGGGTGGGAGCTGAAGCTCCAGCCCCTCCATTTGGGGTGTTTGGGATGGAGCTGAAGCTCCAGCCCCTCCATCTGGGGTGTTTGGGATGGAGGTGAAGCTCCAGCCCCTCCATCTGGGGTGTTTGGGATGGAGGTGAAGCTCCAGCCCCTCCATCTGGGGTGTTTGGGATGGAGGTGAAGCTCCAGCCCCTCCATTTGGGGTGTTTTAGGAGCTCCAGCCCCTCCATTTGGGGTGTCTGGGAGGGAGCTGAAGCTCCAGCCCCCCACTATTCAGGATGTTTTAGAAGTTCCAGCCCCTCTGTTCAGGGTGTTTTAGGAGCTCCAGCCCCTCCATTTGGGGTGCTTTAGGAAGGGGTGAATCTCCAGCCCCTCTGTCCCTTCAGAGGCCCTACTCAGGTCTCAAAAAGCCCAAATCCGGCCCCAGAAAAGCCCAGCTGAGGCCCAGAGGAGCCCAGCCGGGTCCCCCGGGCCCAGCCCCACCTTGTCCCGGTCCCGGTCCCTGTCCCGGTCCCGGTCCCGGTCCCGCTGGGGCTCGCGGGGCCGCGCTGCCGCGGGGCTCTCGGGCGGGGACGAGTCCACGTCCAGCGGCTCCTCCTCCTTGATCCGCACGTCCGGCGTGGAGGGCAGCGACATGTCCAGGGCGCCCGAGCCCTGCGGGAGGACGGGCAGTCAGACTGGGAGGGACGGACAGACAGACAGATCTAGGGCAGACAGCCTGGGAGGGACAGCTGGGGAGGGACAGACAGCCGGGACGGACAGACAGACTGGGACGGACAGACAGACTGCAGAGGGACAGACTGGGACGGACAGACAGACTGGGAGGGCAGACAGCTCTGGAAGGGCAGACACTCTGGGATGGACAGACAGCTCTGGGACAGACAGTTTTGGAAGGCTCTGGGAGGACAGACAGACACCCTGGGAGGACAGACAGACACCCTGGGAGGACAGACAGACACTGTGGAAGGACAGACAGACACCCTGGAAGGACAGACAGACACTCTGGGAGGACAGACAGACACTCTGGGAGGACAGACAGACACCCTGGGAGGACAGACAGCTCTGGAAGGACAGACAGCTCTGGGAGGACAGACAGACACCCTGGAAGGACAGACAGACACCCTGGGAGGACAGACAGACACCCTGGGAGGACAGACAGACACTGTGGAAGGACAGACAGACACCCTGGAAGGACAGACAGACACTCTGGGAGGACAGACAGACACCCTGGGAGGACAGACAGCTCTGGGAGGACAGACAGACACTCTGGGAGGACAGACAGACACTCTGGGAGGACAGACAGCTCTGGAAGGACAGACAGACACCCTGGGAGGACAGACAGACACCCTGGGAGGACAGACAGACAGCTCTGGGAGGACAGACAGACACTGTGGAAGGACAGACAGACACCCTGGGAGGACAGACAGACACCCTGGGAGGACAGACAGACAGCTCTGGGAGGACAGACAGACACCCTGGGAGGACAGACAGACACCCTGGGAGGACAGACAGACACTCTGGAAGGACAGACAGACACCCTGGGAGGACAGACAGACAGCTCTGGGAGGACAGACAGCTCTGGAAGGACAGACAGACACCCTGGGAGGACAGACAGACACCCTGGAAGGACAGACAGACACTCTGGGAGGACAGACAGACACCCTGGAAGGACAGACAGACACCCTGGAAGGACAGACAGACACCCTGGGAGGACAGACAGCTCTGGGAGGACAGACAGACACCCTGGGAGGACAGACACCCTGGGAGGACAGACAGACACCCTGGGAGGAGCCCCCATCTCGCGCTGCCTGCGAAACGCTCTCTGCTCCCCGAGTGGGAGGCTCAGGCCCCCAGCCTTGCCCGTTTATTATCATCATTATTATCATTATTATAATTATAATTATTATTTATTTCCCCTGCAGCAGCCCCTGCGAGCGCGAGGGGCGGCTCCAGCCCTGCCCAGAGGGAGCTGCAGCCCCGTGTGGGGCCCAGCGACACACAGCGCTGCCCCACGGGCTGTTATGGGGATTTTCAGTATGAAAAGGGCCCTGCGAAGGAGAACAGGCACCCCAGCCAAACGCCTGCGAGTTACAGGAGGCACTTTCACTCACACAAGAGCTGTAAAACATTGTATAAATCAGCCTGAATTACTTTATTACCCGATTATCAAAAGCAAACAAAGAGCCGTGCAAGTTATTAAATATCTACGAGCGCCCCATTAAAATAAAACCCAACCATGTGCCTGGAGTTGGCCCCTTGCCACCGCGCCGGGATCCGGCAGAGCCACGCGGCCCGGTGGAGCCAGCGCAGGGACAGGGAAGGGCAGGGACAGCTGAACTCGGGGTCCCAGACCCGCAGGGAGGCCGTGGCAGCGCGGGGACGCTGCCCCAGGGCTGGCAAATCACCTGGGCCCTGCTCCTGCCCGGGCAGCGGAAACTGCCCCTAAAGCAGCCCTGGCTTTGTCCAGCCTGTGCTCCGTCCCTGCCTGCTCCCTGTCCGTCCGTCCGTCCGTCCGTCCGTCCATCCGTCCATCATCCATCCCTCCATCCATCCCTCCATCCCTGCTCCATCCCTGCTCCATCCATCCGTCCATCATCCATCCATCCATCCATCATCCATCCCTCCATCCCTGCTCCATCCATCCGTCCATCATCCATCCCTCCATCCCTGCTCCATCCATCCGTCCATCATCCATCCCTCCATCCCTGCTCCATCCATCCGTCCATCATCCATCCATCCATCCATCATCCATCCCTCCATCCCTGCTCCATCCCTGCTCCATCCATCCGTCCATCATCCATCCATCCATCCATCATCCATCCCTCCATCCCTGCTCCATCCATCCGTCCATCATCCATCCATCCATCATCCATCTGTCCATCCATCCATCCATCCATTCATCCATCCATCCATCCCTGCTCCATCCGTCCATCCATCCATCCATCCATCCATCCCTGCTCCATCCGTCCATCCATCCATCCGTCCATCCATCCCTCCATCCCTGCTCCATCCCTCCATCCCTGCTCCATCCGTCCATCCAGCCCCTCATTTTGGGGTGTTTTTGGGGGGGACACAGCTCCAGCCCCTCGGTTTGGGCTATTTCGGAGCTCCAGCCCCTCGGTTTGGGCTATTTCACAAAGGCTCACAGCTCCAGCCTCCTGTGTGGCTCCTGGGGTGGGTCTGCCCACGGTAGGTGCAGCAATAACCAAACTACCCGCCCTTATACCCACGTACCTGCCCTTATTCCCATTTCCCTGCCCTTCCCGAGCCCGGCCCTGCCGTAGGCGCAGCAATCACCATTTCCCTGCCCTTATTCCCGTTTCCCTGCCCCTGTCCCCATTTTCCTGCCCCTGTTCCCGTTTCCCTGCCCCTGTCCCCATTTTCCTGCCCCTGTTCCCGTTTCCCTGCCCCTGTTCCCATTTTCCTGCCCCTGTTCCCGTTTCCCTGCCCCTGTCCCCATCCCTGCCCGTTCCTGTCCCCATCCCTGCCTGTTCCTGCCCCCCATCCCTGCCCGTTCCTGCCCCCCATTCCTGTCCCCATTCCCGGCCGTTCGTGCCTCCCTTCCCCGCTCCAGAACAAAGGGCAGGAGCCTTTGCCGCAGCCGCATACCAATGAGAGAGATCAATTTCGGTTTAAAGAGCCTGTTATTGGCGGGGGGGGGGGGGGGGAGCGCCTGGGAAGGCAGGTTTCAGTTTTAATTCTGAATTCCTCCGTTCCCCATCTCGGCAAGATTTACGCGGCCCGGCTCCCGCAGTTTATTTCCGAGCAGCGCCGCTGACTGCGAGCGTATGCGCGGCCATCCATCAATTTAGCAAATGTGCGTGCCAGGCTGCGCGCCCGGCGCGCATCTGCTGCCGCTCCCTCCCGCCCGGCGGGGCGGGGGCTGCAAATGTCCTTAATTAGCCGCTTTCTGATGAGCTCCGCGCGTCCTTCAGCCGCCGGCGCTGCCGGGCTGCGGGGGCAGCCGCGATCGATGGCGCCGGCGGAGCGCGGAGCTCTTTGTTAGCGAATCTGCTCCTTCCCACCGAGCCGCGACGGAGCCCCGGGGCCCCCCATCCATGCCTGCCCCTGCCGGGCTCCATCCCGCCGGGCCTGGGCCCCGAGGGGGTTCTGACACCAGCCGGGGTCCGGCAGCTCCTTCCCTGTCATCATTTTGGGCTCTCCCCCTCTCCGTTTCTGCAGCTCCTTCCCGGTCAGGTATTTTGGATACCCCCCCTCTCCGTTTCTGCAGCTCCTTCCCGGTCAGGTATTTTGGGCTCTCCCCCTCTCAGTTTCCCCCCTTCTTCCGAAGCGCAAAGCCAAAGGAATAATAAACCATTAAGCCAGCTCTCGGCAGGCCAGGATCGGTGGGAACGGCGCCAAAGTCACCCGAGCGACACCAACAAGGCCCCACACCAAGGCCCCACACGGCAGCAGATCCCGCCAGGGCCGTGCCTCGCACCGGAGCTGCCCCCAGTGCCCCCAGTGCCCCCAGTGCCCCCAGTGCTCCCAGTGCTCCCAGTGCCCCCAGTGCTCCCAGTGCCCCCAGTGCCCCCAGTGCTCCCAGTGCTCCCAGTGCTCCCAGTGCCCCCAGTGCCCCCAGTGCTCCCAGTGCTCCCAGTCCCTCCCAGTGCTCCCAGTGCCCCCAGTGCTCCCAGTGCTCCCAGTGCCCCCAGTGCTCCCAGTGCCCCCAGTGCCCCCAATGCCCCCAGTGCCCCCAGTGCCCCCAGTGCTCCCAGTGCCCCCAGTGCCCCCAGTGCTCCCAGTCCCTCCCAGTGCCCCCAGTGCCCCCAGTGCTCCCAGTGCCCCCAGTGCCCCCAGTGCTCCCAGTGCCCCCAGTGCCCCCAGTGCCCCCAGTGCCCCCAGTGCCCCCAGTCCCTCCCAGTGCTCCCAGTCCCTCCCAGTGCCCCCAGTCCCTCCCAGTGCCCCCAGTGCTCCCAGTGCTCCCAGTGCCCCCAGTGCCCCCAGTCCCTCCCAGTCCCTCCCAGTGCCCCCAGTGCCCCCAGTGCCCCCAGTGCCCCCAGTGCTCCCAGTGCCCCCAGTGCTCCCAGTGCTCCCAGTCCTTCTCAGTGCTCCCAGTCCCTCCCAGTGCCCCCAGTGCCCCCAGTGCCCCCAGTGCTCCCAGTGCCCCCAGTGCTCCCAGTGCTCCCAGTCCTTCTCAGTGCTCCCAGTCCCTCCCAGTGCCCCCAGTGCTCCCAGTCCCTCCCAGTGCCCCCAGTGCCCCCAGTGCCCCCAGTGCTCCCAGTCCCTCCCAGTGCCCCCAGTCCCTCCCAGTGCTCCCAGTGCCCCCAGTGCCCCCAGTGCCCCCAGTGCTCCCAGTGCCCCCAGTCCCTCCCAGTGCCCCCAGTGCCCCCAGTGCCCCCAGTGCCCCCAGTGCTCCCAGTCCCTCCCAGTGCCCCCAGTCCCTCCCAGTGCTCCCAGTGCCCCCAGTGCCCCCAGTGCCCCCAGTGCTCCCAGTGCCCCCAGTCCCTCCCAGTGCCCCCAGTGCCCCCAGTCCCTCCCAGTGCCCCCAGTGCCCCTCTTGCCTTTTTCTCGTCATCCTCGGCCGCTTTCTTGAACTCGTGCTCGAAGGAGCTGGCCAGCTCGTTGAACAGCCCCACCTCCTCGCAGTTCTTCAGGAACCGCGTCGGGGTCGGGGTCTGATCTGGGTCGGAACACCGGGAATTGGTCAGGGAGAGCAAAACCAAAAATCCCCATTTTAGCACCCCGGTCCCTCAGGGGGAGCCCCGGGCCCGTGGGTGCCACCCTGGGGACGGGGACAGTCACTGCGAGCTGGGTTTGTTCTCTGCGGTTCAGGGGAATAATCACAAGGGGATTACTCTGAGGATTTCTGACAGTTCCTGGCTGTGGCATTCCCGTCCCTCCCGCCCCAAAGGGATTCCCTGGGATCGCTCCTCTCTGTGCCAGATCCAAACCCCACAGCGATTCCCTGGGAATGTTCCCTGCCCTCCCCGCGCCAGCTCTGAATCCCAGAGACAAAACGGTCCCAAAAATCCCAGAGAGAAAACGGTCCCAAAAAATCCCAGAGAGAAAACGGTCCCAAAAAATCCCAGAGACAAAATGGTAAAGAAAAATCCCAGAGACAAAATGGTCCCAAAAATCCCAGAGAAAAAATTACCCCAAAAAATCGCAAAGACAAAATGGTCCCAAAAATCCCAGAGACAAAATGGTGGCTCAGAAAAGCCTGGGATAGATGGAATTTCAGCAATAACGGGCCCGGATCTCTCTGCTCACAGCCAGCAGGGTTTTACAGCCCTCACTCCCCCTGTCTGTGCCAGACACGCTGCTTTGGGGGGTTTAGCTGGGCCTGTACTGATCATGGATAAATTGATTTTTGGGGGGGTTTCTGGTTGCAGACTGGCCATGGATAAATTGATTTTTTGGGGGGTTTAGCTGGTCCTGTACCAGCCATGGATAAATTGATTTTTGGGGGGTTTAGCTGGTCCTGTACCAGCCATGGATAAATTGATTTTTGGGGGGTTTAGCTGATCCTCATCTGGCCATGGATAAATTGGGTTTGTTTGGGGTTTTTCCTGTGTTTTACCCCAGAGCAGCCCCTGAGTGTCAGGGTGACCTTGCTCCTTGTGCTCCTGAAGCGTTTCATCCCCTCGTGCTTTGCCAGGGAGAGAAATCCTGAAATTCCCCCTGGGAATGAATTCTGCCCACAGGCACAGCTCACCCCAACCCTCGGGAGCCCAGCTGAATTCCCATTCCCCGAATTCCCATTCCCCGAATTCCCATTCCCGGGTCTGGGCTGGAGATGAGCGGGGAAGGAGGTGCCAGGTTGCTGCAGCAGATTTGATTTGTTTTGTTTTGTTTTGTTTCGTTTTGTTTTGTTTCGTTTTGTTTTGTTTCGTTTTCCCCAAAACCCCTCCAGGGTGTCCCCCCTGTCACCCAGCAGGGACACAGAGGGACAGGAGGGACCCTGGGGTCTCTGCTCTGAGATTTGTGGGGTTTGGGTTCCCCCATTTTACAGAGGCTGTGGGAGCTCTGCAGAGCTCGTGGGGCTTTAATTTATTTAATTTATTTAATTTATTTAATTTATTAACTGCAGCTTCCTAAAAGCTCGGGGAAAACTGACACCTGGGCTGAGAGGGGAAGCTGCTCTGCCAGGGCTGGCTCATCGTGCTCAGAGCACACGCAGAGACGTGGAAGCCCTTCTGGCCATAAATCCTCCAGCCTTTAATAAAAAACGGCGAGAGCTTAAAAAAAAAAAAAAATTAAAAAAAAAAGACCCAAACCCCACAAAACCTGATACCACCATAAAAAACAAAGGAAAGACGTGGCAGGCTGATGAAATGCAGATCAGGGGGGTTTATGGGGCGCAGCTGTGCCGTACCTGCGATGATGACGGAGTCGGTGCGAGCGGGGCCGAACTTGAGCGTCAGCTCGTGCTTGTGCTTGTGCACGGCCAGGTGGTCCTCGTTGGTGAACCTCTGCAAGGGAACGGGCACAGGACGGGCAATCAATGCTCCGGGGTGTGGGCACACAACGGGCACAGGGCGGGCACAGAACGGCGATCAGCGCTCGGGGTATGGGCACAGAACGGGCAATAAACGCTCGGGGCCATGGGCACAGAACGAGCAATCAGCACTCAGGGTATGGGCACACAACGGGCGATCAGCGCTCGGGGTATGGGCACACAACGGGCACACAACGGGCACAGAACGAGCAATCAGCGCTCAGGGTATGGGCACAGAACGGGCACACAACGGGCGATCAGCGCTCGGGGTATGGGCACAGAACGGGCACACAACGGGCACAGAACGGGCACACAACGGGCGATCAGCGCTCGGGGTATGGGCACAGAACGGGCACACAACGGGCGATCAGCGCTCGGGGTATGGGCACACAACGGGCACACAACGGGCACACAACGGGCGATCAGCGCTCGGGGTATGGGCACACAACGGGCACACAACGGGCACACAACGGGCGATCAGCGCTCGGGGTATGGGCACACAACGGGCACACAACGGGCACACAACGGGCGATCAGCGCTCGGGGTATGGGCACACAACGGGCACACAACGGGCACAGAACGGGCGATCAGCGCTCGGGGTCATGGGCTGTCTGTGCTGAGTGCGCGGGGAGAGAGAGAGGGGCTGATGGAGGGGGGATCTGGGGCGGGGGAAAGGGACAGAGGGGGACAGGGTGTGGGAGCAGGGTAAGGGTTAGGGGTAAACGCAATGAAATTCTGAACCCCAAAATTCCCACTCTGTTGCTGGCTGAGGAAGAGGCGAATTTGGCTGTGGGGCCGGCTGTGGGTCTCGCTGTGTGGGGCAGGCTGTGGGGCCGGCTGTGGGGCCAGCTGTGGGTCTCGCTGTGTGGGGCAGGCTGTGGGGCCGGCTGTGGGGCAGGCTGTGTGGGGCAGGCTGTGGGGCCGGCTGTGGGTCTCGCTGTGTGGGGCAGGCTGTGGGGCCGGCTGTGGGGCAGGCTGTGTGGGGCAGGCTGTGGGTCTCGCTGTGTGGGGCAGGCTGTGGGGCCGGCTGTGGGTCTCGCTGTGTGGGGCAGGCTGTGGGTCTCGCTGTGTGGGGCCGGCTGTGGGGCCGGCTGTGGGGCAGGCTGTGGGGCCGGCTGTGGGTCTCGCTGTGTGGGGCAGGCTGTGGGGCAGGCTGTGGGGCCGGCTGTGGGGCAGGCTGTGGGGCCGGCTGTGGGTCTCGCTGTGTGGGGCAGGCTGTGGGGCAGGCTGTGGGGCCGGCTGTGGGGCAGGCTGTGGGGCCGGCTGTGGGTCTCGCTGTGTGGGGCCGGCTGTGGGGCAGGCTGTGGGTCTCGCTGTGTGGGGCAGGCTGTGGGGCCGGCTGTGGGTCTCGCTGTGTGGGGCACGCTGTGGGGCCGGCTGTGGGGCTGCAGAGGCAGACACAGGCTGAGCGGGGGAGCTCGGCTCGGCATGAACGGGGTTAAGGCACAGCCCCATAAAGCTCGGGATGGATTGCAGCTCTCCTAATAGACTGCGACAAAGGAACGGCCCGGCCGCAGCGCCCCGGGCACGCAACCAACGCTGCAGCGGCAGCAAAGCAGCGGCAGCAAAGCAGCAGGGCACGGGAACAAACGCTGCAGCGGCAGCAGCAAAGCAGCAGCAAAGCAGCAGGGCACGGAACGAACGCTGCAGCGGCAGCAGCAGAACAGCAGCAGAACAGCAGGGCACGCAACCAACGCTGCAGCGGCAGCAAAGCAGCAGCAAAGCAGCAGGGCACGGAACGAACGCTGCAGCGGCAGCAAAGCAGCAGAACAGCAGCAGAACAGCAGCACATTCATTCCTGCCCTTTCCCCTTCCCTCCCTCTCGGGCATCCCAGTCCCACCCAGAGCCACCTGCTCCTGTGGGGCTGCCCCACTGGGACACCTGTCCACGGCTTTATTTATGGCTCTGCTCTTCGAGCAAATAAATCTGAGCACAGGGGGGACAATCCCTTGGTGACAGGAGACAATCCCTCGGTGGCAGGGGACAATCCCTCGGTGGCAGGGGACAATCCTGCCCCTTGATGGCAGGGGACACCCAGCCCTGGAGACACCCAGACCTTGGGACACCCAGCCCTGGAGACACCCAGACCTTGGGACACCCGGCCCTGGGGACACCCAGCCCTGGAGACACCCAGACCTTGGGACACCCAGCCCTGGGGACACCCAGACCTTGGGACACCCGGCCCTGGGGACACCCAGCCCTGGAGACACCCAGACCTTGGGACACCCAGCCCTGGGGACACCCAGACCCGGGGACACCCAGACCTTGGGACACCCAGACCTTGGGACACCCGGCCCTGGGGACACCCAGACCCGGGGACACCCAGACCTTGGGACACCCAGACCCGGGGACACCCCGACCCGGGGACACCCAGACCTTGGGACACCCGGCCCTGGGGACACCCAGACCCGGGGACACCCCGACCCGGGGACAGCCAGCCCTGGGGACAGCCAGCCCTGGGGACACCCAGACCTTGGGACACCCAGCCCTGGAGACACCCAGACCTTGGGACACCCAGCCCTGGGGACACCCAGCCCTGGGGACACCCAGACCTTGGGACACCCAGACCCGGGGACACCCAGCCCTGGGGACACCCAGACCCGGGGACACCCAGACCTTGGGACACCCAGACCCGGGGACACCCAGACCCGGGGACACCCAGCCCTGGGGACACCCAGCCCTGGGGACACCCAGACCCGGGGACACCCAGACCTTGGGACACCCCGACCCGGGGACACCCGGCCCTGGGGACAGCCAGCCCCTGTCCCCGGGCTCAAGGACGCGGGGTCACACACGCACACTGCGCGTCCTCCAGAGCTCTCCAGGTGCTCTGCCGGCCGCCCGCGATTTGGGCTCAGATCCAGGGAAATCGGAGCCGGCGGCAGAAGCGCCAGGAGGTTTTTGCCAGGCTCAGACTGAGCCCCCTCCATCTCCCCCGGCTCTGTTCTGTAACCCAACCCTAAATAAACCCCAAATCAAATTCTCGGCAGCTCGGCCAAAATCTGCCTGATCCGGGCTTGTTTCCCTCCCCGCTGCTCTGCCCCAGCCTCCCACGCACGCTTTTTGTCCGAGCAGCTCTCACAGATCCCGAAACCTCCGAACAAAGGAGCCGGAGCGGGGCAATGCGGGAATTCAATAATTCGGGAATTCAGGAATTCGGGAATTCAGGAATTCGGGAATCGCCCTGCTGAGGGGCCCTGCAGGGGAAGGGACACCCACGTTTCTCCGTGGTTTTGGCCCCAAAATCCCCGGGGTTTATGGAATTCGGCTGGGATGGGGCGAAGGGAGGGAAACGAACCCGGCTTTTGTGCGGGGCTGGGACGAATATCTGAATACTGAGCAGGCGGGCGGCGTCGGAAACCCGAGCACCTGAGACGGGGGTGGGGGAAATGAAAAAGAAGAAAACCCCCAATTCTCCCGCTCCGCTTTACGCTGAATAAATGTGATTTTTGGGCCAGGGAGGGAAGCGCGGGAGGCGCAGCGCGGGGTCGCGTCTCCCCCAGCAGCCCCAGCCCGGCCTCGCCAACGCCAGGTTTATTTTAATCTTTCATTTTCCTTCATTGCCGGATTTTTTATTTTTTTTCCCTAATTTTTTTTTTTTTCCCCGGCACTTTGGGTGCGCCGGGCGCGCGTTACAGCTCTATTTAACATCTTTATGTGGGCTCGCGGCTCGGGAGCTCTCTCCTTCCCTGCGCAGAAACGCTCACAGACACAATATATCTTCCCGCACGCATTTCCAAACGCCGAGAGCCAGAGGCTGAGTCTGGCGCTCGGGCTCTAAATCATGTCGTTTTACACAGAGAGGGGGAGCAGAGGGGCAGAGCAGGGGGGGAACGAGGGGGAAAATGGAATGAGTTAAAGCCGCAGCGCTGGCTTTAATATTTAATCTCCTTCCATCAGCAGCTGACATGCAGCAGGGTTATTTCAGCTGCTATTTTGCGGGTGTCGGAATTAAAAAGAAGATGTTGGCTGTAAAGTCTTTGGGGCGAGGGACAGCAGCAGGGCGAGCGCTGCCAGCGGCCCTCGGGCTTTCCCGCAGCCCCAAATTCGGCGTTTTCCGCACGGAAAATGGACGGAACCGAGCCGGGCCGGGCGGGACGAACCGCGGTGCCCCCGGGCTGTGACAGCTCCGGGATGGACGCGCTGGTTCCGAGCCGTCCCGAGCCGTTCTGAGCCGTTCTGAGCCGTCCCGAGCCGCGTGTAGCGCACACACAATGCGGGAGGGATTTGTGAAGGGCTCCGACAAGGGCTCGCCTGGCTGCTCGGGGCTTTCCTGCCTTCCGAGAGCCGGGCGTGTGCGGGGGAACGGAGGATGGGGGAGCCGGGGCAGGGTCTGACCTCGCTCCGAGCCCGGCACCGGCGGTACCGGGCCGCAGCTCCCGGTGTAACCCGGCGGTACCGGGCCGCAGCTCCCAGTGGAACACTGATGGTACCGGGCCGCAGCTCCCGGTGTAACCCGGCGGTACCGGGCCGCAGTTCCCAGTGGAACACTGATGGTACCGGGCCGCAATTCCCGGTGTAACCCGGCGGTACCGGGCTGCAGCTCCCGGTGTAACCCGGCGGTACCGGGCCGCAGTTCCCAGTGGAACACTGATGGTACCGGGCCGCAATTCCCGGTGTAACCCGGCGGTACCGGGCTGCAGCTCCCGGTGTAACCCGGCGGTACCGGGCCGCAGCTCCCGGTGTAACCCGGCGGTACCGGGCCGCAGCTCCCGGTGTAACCCGGCGGTACCGCGCCGCAGTTCCCAGTGGAACACTGATGGTACCGGGCCGCAATTCCCGGTGTAACCCGGCGGTACCGGGCTCGGCAGAGCGGAATTAACGGGATAAATTAACGAGCTGTCAGCGGCGCGGGGAGGCCGAGCCCTGCTCCCAGCGTGACTCGGCACTGGAGCCACCCTGGCCACGGGGATGGGTGACAGGGTGACACTGCCACGGTGACAGCGCTGGGGCCACCCTGGTGACAACACTGG